CACATGCTCTCGGACAGCAGGCGCCACTGTAAAGCGCACTTCACTCGCGGTCTGATAGTCGGTGATAAACCCTTTCGCCAGCCAGCCGGGGCAGCCCGGCCAGGCGCTTCTGCGCGTGCGGCAGCTCCTTGATCTCGAGAGGAGCGCGGGCGGCGGGTGGTCGACACTCCACCTCGCTCGTATTGCTGGAGTGAGTTGTCCGAGCCGCTGTCCATCCCATAACATCCCCGTCACTTAGTCGCCGTCTCTCTCTCTCTCTCTCGCTTTCTCTCGCCGCGCGGCGATGGGATGTTTCCTGCCTGTCGCTCTCATTTGTTTACCTGGCCAAGCCGCTGGACAGCGGCAGGGGCGATGCGCCCATTGTATTGTCTCGCCGCCCGCTCGCAGCAGGCATTTGAAGCTCCGCTCGCCACGCCACGCCCTCGCCGTCATGCCTCTGGACCAGGAGGACTCACTGCAACTGGGTGGCGCGGCGGGGCGGGGCGGGGCGGGGCGGGCGCAGACTTGATGATGATCTTCCGCGGCTCCACGCGCGATGCGGCAATGAGGCCAATCAGGCTCGCCGGACACATACACACACACACTCACACACACACTCACACACACACTCACACACACACTCACACACACACTCACACTCACACACTCACACTCACACACCATGGGCGCGCGGCCTTGCGCCAGGCTGGCCGGGTGCTAAAATATGTGCGTGGCACGACGACGCTGCTCGTTGGCGCCCCCCGCCTCGCTGCCGCTCGCGACACCCCGGCGCGGACCACCGCGCCACACACGCGGCTGCGGCGCCCAGGTACGCGGCCTGCAGCAGCAGCAGCAGGAGCAGCAGCACAGGCATCTGGATCTGAAATAGCGATTGAGGTCGGCAACCCCAGGGGACGCGTTTGCAGTAATGGGTGGTGGACGCGTAGAGCGGCGTGCAGCGCGGCGGCGGGGCTGGGCGTGTTGCACGGAGCCCTTGCTGACCGCGACCCTTCGGGAGGTCGCTACTGCGATGCTGCCGCCGCCGTCCTGTGGGGTTGGCGGCGTAACCCGCGCTCGCGAGGGTCTACGCCCCGCTGCTGTTGTCGTCGACCTCGGGTGTCTCACTGGTTTCCGTTTTTCGTGAATGTCGCCGCGCTTTGGCGGCGTGCTTGACCGCCCCTCCTTATGGCCACCTTGGGGTCGCCGCCACGTGCGGGGTGCTCTCCGAGCGAGCATTGTTTTGGGGTGTCCACTCACTCGGAGGACTCGCGCGGCCCTGCTCGCCGGGCCCAGCCCCCTCTCTCCTCTCCTCTCTCGCGGCCCCCGCCCCCCGCGCCCTTCTCTCTCGCCACGCCCCGCCACGCTGCGCCGCGCCGCCGCGCCTCAGTCCCACACCAGCACCGTGTAGAGCCAGACTGTAGCTGCTCGGCCCAAACTAAAGCCGACCCCCGCGGCGGTGACGCGTGCAGCGCTCGCTGTGGCTGCTCTCTAGAAGTGAGTGTGAACCTTGTGTGCGCCCGAGGAGAGGATTACCGCCAGGAAGCAGGAAGGACGAAATGGATGGACCGAGCCGACAGCCGGCAGCTGATCGCCTTTGTGCCTCTCTCTTGAGTACCCGCCAGCCGAACGCTTTCGCGAAAATACGCTATCATCGGCGCCAAGTTGCGAATGAAGGCGACGTGCTGAAGGACTTGTCGTTGGCAGAGCAGCTTTGGATAACAAATCGTCCGGTCTTGTGGACCTCTGGTCGTTCGGGGTGGTGGTGAGGTTCGCGCTCTTTCGACCCGCGATTTTAAAACATAGACGAGCGAACAGCGCAGCAGATATTCCCACATGTTCTTTTCCGGAAGTATTCTATCTTTCTCAAACTTAAATTTGCGAAAATAATTTACTTTCTTTCGGCTGTGACGACGGCGTCCGCTGGTGACTCAGAGCGTGTGGGTCGCGCCGGGTGATGAGTGTCGTCGGGGCGCTCGGCCCAGTGGCGTAGGGGATGGGGTGGCACGGGTGTCCCGCCACTGCCGCCGCTGCTCGCCCCGGCCTCGCCTCGCGGTGTTAACTTGTCCCGCCGGCAGCTCTGCATTTCCCTGCCGTTCATTCATTGTCTAGGCCAGTGCCCGGACAACAAGCGCCCCACTAGAGTCGTTTATGTGGTCATTAGCACGACGCTGTTAGTGATCATGACTCTGTCATGTGAAGCTAAGGGGTTATTGGTTTCTGCTATGCTCGAAACTGAGATGGATTTGCGTCTGTTTACAAGTTATTCCAATGATAGTTTTATAAACTAGGTGTATCAAATACGAACAGCACTCCTTTCATCTACGCGTACTGTTTCTTCCTGTTCGTGCTAAGACTAATGGCCATTTTCTATCTCCAACTTTCAACTTTGGATTTAAGGCATAATTGCTAAACGCGATTGCAGAATTCTGTTTTGGGGATCATCCAGAAAGTACGTCCGTCATTCGTCTTTAACGAACCTTATTAGTTCGGACAATGCAAGCTCTCATGACGCCTGATGGGTAGGCAACATCCTGCTTGCAGTGCAAGCGTGTAGTGCGGGGCGGCCTACCCCGGGTCTCGCAGGCGCTGAGCTCTTGTAATTTACCGAATAAATAGAAGAAAAAGGGACGCACTTTCCGGACGATCCCTTTGGGAGTCGGTAGAACCGGTTGCAAGTCATCGATTTTGAAGAATATGTGGCTATTCATACACAAGGAAACATATTGGAAGAAACAATACTCATGGTATATCGTGGCAAAAATACCGTGTGTTCTAGAGGACGAAATACATTTCTTAACGGTTAGAAAATCCTCCTTATGTACTCGTCTAATGCTTAAAATCAGACATTTTTGTGAGTGTCCGACTGCCTTGGCGCGTGTGTCGCACCGAGTGACGTACATCGGCGTGATGCCCAGTGATGCCTCCTGGCCGCCCCATCCCGCCCCGCCGTGGCCGCCCGACCTTGCCGTTAGGCTTGGCTTCAGCAAACTCACCACCATGATCTTCTGCCGATAGCTGAAAAAAACTAAGTGATCAGAACAGCTTACATCCTCACTGATGATGGCAGACGATTGCACCGGGTGTTTAGGGAGCACGCTCGTGCGGGCGGGCTAGCCTACTCCGTCTGCCTGTTAATCGCCATCATGTCTCCTGTGAATAGGCAAGCCCGCTCGCAGCGGCGCGTGCACCGGTGCGTTCTACCGGCCTTTACCCGCCCTACCCCCGCGCTTCCGCGCTGCTAGACCCGAGGCTATAGACCACGTCTTCGCCCCCCCCCCTCTTTCTCCCTGCGTGATGTAGGTCGTGTAAATAGTGGCCAAGTGCTGTTGCATTTACCTTCCACTCGTTTACGTCTATCGCAAACCCTGGCCTAGATCACTGACGTTCGTTATGCCCACCGAGGCTGGCGGTCTGCGTGTCCTGGGACGACTCCGCCGGCAAGGGGCTGTTTCTGTTTCCTATAAGACAACGACAACGTCTTCACCCCTCAGTCGAACCCCCCTTCAGCTCCTACTCCCCCCTCCCCCTCCTCTTTCCGCGCGTCTTAAGCCCCCAGCAGCCGACGAATGTTGACACTAACTGCCACTCAGACTGTCAGACGCTGTTCCACGCAAACTACCCCCCAGTTTGTCCGGAGTTTCGTTTTCCGTCAACACGACGGTGGGTGGGAGGAGGAGGGGCTGGACCTGGAGCAGCCCGGCCGCTGCCTCCCCCTGCCCTCGGTGCTCTGAACGCTCGCGCACTGCTGCTGTCATTGACCTGCAGTCGCCACACTCTCTGGTGCGACAGGTGGCGGTGGTGGTGGAGGAGGAGGGCGGCCTTGTGGTTCCTCCTGCTCCTCGGCCGGGCCCGGCGGCGTGCGCGAAGCGCGAACCTCCACTCGGCGGCCGCGGCGCCGACGGGGAGGGGAGTGGGAGGCCACACAGTGGCCACACAACGCACTGTGCAGCCCATGCTGTGCTGTATTTAGCCGGGGCGGGACGGCGGCGGGGGGGT